AGCTCACTTTTTAGCCTTACTATACTCATGACGTTTTAATCTTATATATACTATCGCACGTTTTTGCTCACTACATTTTTATGCATCCTTACCTATACATTATGACATTTTTTTGCTCCTTACTATACTATGACGTTTTTTTCACATTCTTGCCCTTACTATAACTATTGACGTCTATTATGACGTGTAGTTTGACATAAGCAATATTTTTACTTCATATTACAGTATATATATAACATATATTTACAAAAACAAAACCACAGATAAGGAGCTTTACTACTTTCTCCAACTCCACATCCTGAGATTTTTTAAAGAGATTTACTGTTCAACACTTGTAGTTTTCCAGGACACAACGACGCTTTGACTCACGATGACCATGCACTTGAGTCCGATCATCAACGTTCACACAAGCTTCCTTAGAGGACACTTTTTCACATTTTTTTGCCCTTACTATACATGCTTTTTATCACTTACTTATACTATGACGTTTTATGCCATTTACTATCACTATGACGTTTTTTCACATTTTTTTTCCTTACTATACTATGACGTTTTTTTCACATTTTATGCCTTACTTACTATGACCGTTTTATGCCTTACTATACTATGACGTTTTTCACATTTTTTTTGCCTATACCTATTACTATGACGTTTTTTCAACATTTTTGCAACTTACATACTATGACATTTTTTCACATTTTTTTTGCCTTCTACTATACAATGATGACAGTTCTTTTTCACATTTTCATAGGCCTTATACTATACGATGATTTTTTCACATTTTATGCCTTACTATACTATACGTTTTGTTGCCTTACTAGCTATGACGTTTTTTACATTTTTTGCCTTACTATTACCTATGACGTTTTTATTGCCTTACTATACTATGACTTTTTTTCACTTTTTTTTGCACGCTTTACTATTACTATGATGTTTTTTCACATATCTTATTTGCCTTACTTTTATACTATGTGAATTTTTCATGCTCTTACTATACTATGACGTTTTATGCCCCTTACTATTACTCATGACGGATTTTTTCACATTTTTTGGCCCTTACTATTACGTATGACGGTTTTTTCACATTTTTATTGCCTTACCATACTATGACATCTTTTTCACACTTTTTTTGGCCGTACTATTCTACTATAACTTTTTTTCACAGCTTATTTATGCCCTTTACGTATACGATGCACATTTTTCACTTTTATTTGCCTTACTAAACGGATGACTTTTTTCATATTTTATCGCTTCCTTACTAACTTATGACGTTGTTTTCACATTTTTTTGCCCTTACTATACTATGACGTTTTTTTCACATTTTTTCCTTACTCATTACTATGACGTTTTATGCCTGACTTACTATGAGTTTTTTCACATTTTTTTGCCTTTACTATACGGTATGACGTTTTTGCCTTACTATTACTATGACTTTTTTTTCACTTTTTTTTGCCTTACTTATACTATGACGTATTTTTCACATTTTTTTGCCTTACTATACTATGACTGTTTATGCCTTACTATTTACTATGACGTTTTTTCACCATTTTTTTGCCTTACTATACTATGACGTTTTATGCCTTTACTTATACTATGACGTTTTTCACATTTTTTTGCCTTCTATACTATGACGTTTTATGCCCTTACGTATACTATCGACGTTTTATGCCTTACCTCTTATTACTAATGACGTTTTTTCACATTTTTTGCCTTACTATACTATGACGTTTTTTCACATTTTTTTGCCTTACTATACTATGACGTTTTTTCACATTTTTATGCCTTACTATACTATGACGTTTTATGCCTTACTATACTATGACGTTTTTTCACATTTTTATGCCTTACTATACTATGACATTTTTTTGCCTTACTATACTATGACGTTTTTTCACATTTTTATGCCTTACTATACTATGACGTTATTATGACTGTATTTGCATACATGATTTTACTTCATATGTACAGTATATATATTAACATATATTAAAAACAAACACAGATAAGGAGCTTTACTACTTTCTCACTCCACATCCTGAGATTTTTTTAAAGAGATTTACTTTTCAAACTTGTAGTTTTCAGACACAACGACGCTGACTCACATGACATCACTTGAGTCGATCAATCACACGTCACACAGCTTCCTCTGGAGACACTTAAGCTTTATACAACTTGTCACATATGCAGAATTACTACATGAGACCTGCACAGGAGGAGGACTGTGGATTTTGTCTCATTCACTTAGTCTGGACTTGGATTATGATGGTTTCTCAGGAATGATTACATTCAAAAACTCATTTTAATGTACATATGGTCATGGGAGCATTGTTTTAAGGCAGACTTTCTAAAAAATGTGCACCGATACTTCAAATCAACCAAAGCATGATTATCTTCTTTGTGCATCTCTTCGCAGCCTTCGCCAGCCTGCCTGGTCTCATGGAGCACCTGTCGGAGAACTACAAGTACTGGAAGAGCTTGGACGAGATGAAGTGTAAGAGCCTGCGCCCGCCTCCTCCTTCTTGACCAAGTCCTCGTCACCTCCTCTCCATCCATTGCTCCGAGCTGGGTGGGACGCTGAACGCAGCCCTGCGGTGGAACAGTTAGTCTCATCAGCTGTGACTCTCTACCCCCCCACCCCCACCCCGAGGACTCTGAGACGCTGAACACTGAGACGCTGTTTCCATCTCAAATCACAGCCTCTTTTCTTGTGTGCTTCTAGCTGGAGGAGGTGTTCTGCCAGTGGAGAACAGGTTGTCATTTGAGGGCCCCCCTCCCCCACCGTCGATACTCAGTTGTATTCCTAACAGAACCTCTGTGAAACTGTGTGGGCCTCACGGCTCGCCTGACAATCTGTACCATACAGTGTAACACACCAGAAACCTGCACTTTAGCTGATCAGGACACTTTCATTCTGAGCTCCCTCTTGCTTTAGTTGCTTCTCACAGTCTTTTCTTATCAGCTGTTGCATTCACTCTTCTGTCGATTGCTGTAAAAGAAACACGGTGAATAAGTTGGCGACCAAATCTAGAGGTACTGACTGAAAATAAGGACCTACAGAGGATCTGTTCATGCGTGTCGCTGAATGTGTGTGTTCATTTTCAAATTGCCAACATGTGAAGGTGCTCAGCTGGAATTATTAACTCTGATGAGCTGTGGTATGAGACACACTTTGACTTGTGTCTGGGACCAGATTCTTAACCAATCAGAGGTCCCTGTTCACCTGCAACTTGTTGCAAGTATTTAATAACCGGAGTAAACCAGCCAGCACACAGGTTTTCCTAAATGTCCAGCTCCATATGCAGAGAGGGAGTCAGAGAAGGGCTGTTTCTGTGATCAGTGCTGGATTTAAAAATTCATGTAGCTGCGTAACAAACATCTGCCGTTGTAGTCATTTCCTCTACGTTGTGGTGAAAGCAGCCGGTGGAGATCTTTGTCAAACCTTGAGGTCGGAACAGAGCTGCGTTGTATCAGGGCTGTTTTAAGTCGGAGTTATCAGATGTTACATTCATAGCTCTGCGACACAAACTGTAGACGTTTGCACCCAAGAAAGAAACAAATCTGACATGTGAGTATTTGAACAATATAGATATAAAAGCCTTCTGACTGTTGTATGGTGCACAAACCTCTAAAGTCTTTACGTACTTGTATATCTGAGGCAGAAATGGGCTTCACAGCGGCTGGACAGATGTGTGAAGGAGCAGAGGATCCATGTTTGGATCCAGCTGCTGCAGCTTTCACGTGGCTTGTGTTAAACTGACTTTACTGTATTTCCAATCCTTTACCTTTTTTTGATTGGAGGTGTCAGAGGAACATCAGATCAGGAGATTTCTATGCTGTGTCTGCCCTCTGGTGGCTGAATGGGGGCGTTGCAGAAGTTGTGCATTAACAAAAATGCATCCACAGGAAATTAGTTATTACCCCACTGGGAATGGTAATAAAAAAAGACAATGATTAATCAAAGTCAGCATTTATAAAACAAACTATCACCTTTAATATCTGAGGCTGAACCAGGCACCAGTATTATGACACTTTTAGACATTTAATTACTTCCTGTATTTTTCAGAGCACTTTTGTTTTAATGTTGAGGTGTAACAGTATTGAAAAGCACTACTGCCACAGAGAACCACAGAGTGAAATCATTTTATAAATGAAAGAAAACTGGATTTGCAGATATTCCAAAACCTGCCCGAGCTTGCTTGGTGAAATTTCATTACTATCCATTTACCAGTTGTTGTCCCCTGAGGCTCCATCTGAATGATAGGACACGTTGCTGCGTCTGTGTACAGTATGTGTGTGTGTGTTAATCCAGGAAACGCACATTACAGTATTAACCAAAGGCACAGAGAGCTCTTTACAGGTGCCTTATTCTTTGGTCATCTTTACAGAAACAAGTTTTTTTTTTTTTTTGGTTGAAATAGTTCCTGCTCTAAAGAGAGAAAAAAAATGAAGAAAAAGCCATAAATGTTTTAGATATTTAAGAATAAAATCTGCGCTATGGTCCGTGCTACAGTTTTGGGTTGAGTCAGTGATCACAGTTCATGACGGTCCGGACGTTTCACCGTTTCTTTTTGTACGACGGAGGTTTTTAAAGACGTGGACTGAATCGGGTGCAGTTGGCTCAAATGTGAATTTCATAATTGTTTTGTCAGCTACTGGTTTCAGTTCACTTCAAAGACACAGAACTGGTCACATCCACGTTCAATGTATTCACTCTGACGTAGTTATTTTATTGATGATGATCAAGGTCTTAATCAATGCCTTAATCCTGTCTCACTGTTTTAGGTCTGCTATTGTTGCAATACACTGTAAAAACTACCTAATGTAACTGCTGTTCTTGTAAATACTCAGCCTATATATCTTTTTGTTTTTTTTTTTTGCTTTGCATTTCACAAAATGTGCGTGTGTAACTTTTTTTGTTTTGGCTGTTTCATGATTTCCAAAATCTCTAAAAACAAAAAGGTTTTAATATTTTCCAGTGGCTCCACCTCTGAATGTTTCACGACTGCTATCACTGATCATCAGATGATATTTTTGCAAAGATTTCTATTCTACAGAGACAATATAAATATTTCCTGCCTTTTCTGTGAGCAGCAGCAGTGACTGGAATGTGATGATGCGAATTAGATCAGATGACAGCCAGTCGCTCAATGCCTCGCTCCGAGTGCGCTGAGGCAGAACCGGATTGTATAACTGCTTGTTATGTAATGATAAGCCTTCATCACTTACAGTGATTTCTACTTCCTCTCCCTCATCTCTTGACACTGATGGCCGTGGCTGCGACAACGTGCCAATTCTGTGTTTTGTATCATTCCTATAAACCAAACAATAATTAGAAAGTGATGATATATATGGTACAAATTATTTTTCAAAGAAGGAAAAAAAAAAATCATTATCGGCCATGAGAAGTGTAATGTGTTGTTTTGAAAGATTTTACTGCCTCATGCAAAGTAGTGACAGGAGCTTTCTGTCAGTCACTTAAAGTCGACCATGTTTGTTTGAAAAATGTCATGTATTTTATGCTCTCTGGATGATGATGTCTTATTTTGATGTTCCCTGTCAAACACAAAAATGTATTGTGAGAGACAATTAAAGAATTCTTTGAAAATGAACTTGTTCTGTGAATGGCAGCCGCGAGTTCACAGGAATATTTTGACACCGTTGGAAATGTGCTTAATGTCTTCATCTTGCCAAGAGTTACAATGAGAAAATTGTTACTGCTCTCATGTCTGTCCAAAAACATACATATAATGCACAAGAGAGACGGTTCCTTCAAGTGCTGGTTGGCATTAAGGCTACACATGAAATATGGTCACAATCTACCCTTCCTGACTTACAGTGTTGAATAATAGCCAGAATTGTTTTTAGAGAACATTATGGTGTTGAATTGTAAAAAATGACAAAATGCCTTACTATGCTATGACATTTTTTCCAATTTTTATGCCTTACTATACTA